ACTCCATCAAGAAAATATCAAAAGGCCCTTTATGAGGTGCTGTAAAGAAGAAAGGGTGTTTTGAGAATGCCACCAGACTGCAAGGGTAATTCCACTTTTTAAAATGTGCCCTGAGGATACAGGCTTATCCCACCTGCTGCCTTTCCTGCTCTGCTCTGTTTGTACGCTTTCTCCGGGGGGGAACTACAGATGAAGAAGTGCGAAGTGTGTGTTGGCAAGAGTCTGTGCGACATGTCACGTTGTGTCACCCTCAAAAGTTCATAGTTTCCTTCATTAGAACTCGTGGCATCTATGAACACATGCCAAAATGTTTTACTCAACATATCCCTCAGGTCTGGGATCATATGTTTGCATCATGTGCGTTCACATGTGTCCATCTCTCTCTGTGTTTCATGGCTTTCTGCTGGTTCTGACAGAAAGGTGTCAATTCCTGGAGGTGTGTGTGTGTGTGTGTGTGTGTGTGTGTGTGTGTGTGTGTGTGTGTGTGTGTGTGTGTGTGTGTGTGTGTGTGTGTGTGTGTCTGGTTTCTCACTACTCCTGTGTTTTCACCGCTCAAACCTGAGCAATCTCCTGGTCGGCGGCCAAGTTTTATCATAGACCTTGTTTTAAAGGCAGCTTAGCGGGGCCTCTTTACAGGCGTGTGAGTGAATGTGTGTGTGTCTGTAGGAGCCCAGGTAATGAGCTTTCTGACAGCTGTTGAAAGGCGTTGCTACTGCTCAGCACCTTTTAATGAAAGCATCCCCCCTCCTTGTAAACACACACACACACACACACACACACACACACACACACACACACACACACACACACACACACACACATTCCTCCCTCCTCCCAGCTTTCGACTTCCCCGCCATATAAACCATTTCTTTCTCCGTAGTAGGCAGGTTACATTGTGAGTGCTTGTGTAACTCAGCACAATGGGGACTTGATAGACCTCCCACCTAAAAGCAGGTGACTCAACTGTGTGCAACAGTGCTTGAACAGAGCAGCAGTATCACTCGTCCTGTGGGGAATTACAGCACGTAAGAAAGGTGAAGTAACGAGGGACTTCGAGAAGTGGCCACAAAAGCAGTGACGGAGATCCTCCGGAAAGACTGGTACTGACAAGAGGAAGGAAACGAGCGTGTTGTGTGGGACCTTGTAGCAGAAGCCTCAGAGGAAGACGTGGGCAGAGAAACAGAGAAGGAGAGTGAAACATGCTGGCACTACTGTCAAGGGTGTGGTACTTTCTTTTCCTCTTTCATGAAACCCAGTTCTTCACAGAAAGCTTTCGGTGTGTTGCTGGTCACTCAGTCAGCTCCCTGTAGTGCTGCAGCCTCTGCCACGGGGTAGAGGGCCAAAGGCACCCCCCCAAGGCCCCTCCTAGTGTGCCAGCAAGTCTTCCAGCCCACTGTTCACCATCCTTTCTCAATCTGCTCCCCTTCTGCCCCTGCTTTCTGCCCAGTGCCCACCCCTCTTTTCACAGTGAGGCCTACTGTGTGCCCCTCTCTCACACACTGCCTCCAAGTCTCACACACTCTTTTACTGCTCAGTGCATTTGACAAGAACACGCAAGCTTTACAGGCTGTTTAATGAAGGTAGAGACGCAGACAAAGGCCCCACATGCCCCTGCTTGCAGTTTAACATGAACAGGAAAAAAAATACGCACACAAACGCAGACAAGAAGATATTTTAATGGGGAACAGTAAGGCTCAATATACAAACTACTATGAACAGTCCTGAATTTGCAAATCAAATCGAGGCTTCAGAGAGTGGCCAAGCGGCACTGGCTGGAGTTACACACCCAACATGAACACAGAAGTGTCTCAGCCTTACGTACTGTATTGAACACACTCTGTCCTCACACAGCCTGTGCATTCACTGCCACATGTTAAGACTAGACTTCTAGAACAGTGTCCTTCTGAAGATTCAATCACACTCGAGTCACGTAGACAAATTCTGCAGGCCTATTGTGAAAGAATACTTGTTACCCTGCCAGAATGTCATATGCTGCTCAGTTAAAAGGAGTGTGTTGCAACACAAAACACGAGCCACATAGTCACGGCCTTTACTCACATACGTTAGGAACACTCCCTTTTCCAGTTGAGTGAACAACAGGCAGCTTTAGTGTTTTATTTGTATAATCTCTTCCTATTCGCTCTTTTTCTCTCCTATTGTACTGTATCTGTTGAACCTAAAGGGACGTCAATTGGCCCAGTTGACCTGACCTAGAATTAAATGTAATTGACCTAGTTGAAGTCACCTTCAGCTAAACAGCTATTTCTGTCATGTGCAGTAACATTTCAGATCTAATGAGGTTGTGGAGAATAATGTACTGCACATCCCACTCACGCTGAAGCACTTTAGTGTAATGTAGGGGAGGGCAGATTGTTATGTGAGTGTGTTTGCTAGTTTGTAGCCATTGAATAGTATCCGTGTGTATATGACCGGGGGATTAGGCCTGGTCAGTGCAGCTGGGCCACTTGTGCACAGAGAGCATTGAGAGAAGGGGATTAGGGAGTAAACTGATACTGGACAGGAAACGAACAGTGGCTACTGGTAACCCAACTATCCCTCCTTGTTGCCTCTCTTCTCCTTTTCTCCTCCCCCAACAACAGCAGCCACCCACCTATCCCACTCCTCTCCTCTCATCTGTCTGTCATCGGCTCACAGGCCTTGGCCGGCGGATTGTCATGCAAATGGTGCCCCAGGCCTCGGAGCACTGATAAGGAGGGCCTCTCATTTCACAGGGCTTTGTTTTCTAAACAGTGATGAGCTGAGTTGAGGAGACGAGGGAAAGGGGCTGCCTGAATGGACCCTCTCACTCTGGCGCCCTGGGGTGCGAGGGATTTGGATGGAGCGGGCTGAAAGAGGCGAGGTCTGGGAGGCGGGTACAGGAGTCATGTTCTCTGGCAGGAACCAGGTTCAACGTGTTGATGGAGCCTGATGTATTTTCTCTCTCACCGCTGTCCGAGTTTTCTTCGGGATGGCCATTCTCTCTTTGGCGAGCTTTCTTCCTCCATTTAGACGGTGTCAGTCAGTGTTCGTTACTTGACGCCACATATGGTTTGTCCTTTTCTAAGGGGTTGTCAGCGCTTGCTCTGGAGCCTCATTTGCCGTTGTTATTATTGCATAAACACAGAGGTTCATGGCACGTTCAGAGGGTTTCTGCTCTCTCACTGACCCTGCTGCTTTGTTACATTCTGGCCAGGAAGATATGAGAACTGCTGTAGAAACATTCAGCGGGTGTAAACTTCAGGTTTCAGATTGATTTGCACATTTGGCTTTGAGATCGCTCCTAAAAAACTAATGGAAAACATCTTTGCCTCCAGCAAAGTTAGGCTTTCAAAGCAGGAATTTGAATGTGGATTCTGAATAGTTAAATATAAAAAATGCATATGAAAAACAGATGTTTGAGCAGCAGGCAACAAATGAAAAATGCCGTAGCTGGGCAGTCGCAGCAGTTGTAGAAGGAAATGGCAGTAATGGTCATCTTGGTCTTGAACAAGACTTGCCCTCAAGAGCAACTGTATCCCCCCCCCCTTTCCCCCTCTGCCCCTTCTCTGTTTTTTTTATCAAATTCCTCTTTTTATGCCCCCTATTTTTTCTTCTTCTTCTTTTTGAAGTCTCCCCTCTCTTGTAAAAAGCCAAGCTGGTGGTTTTTGCCTCAGCCTTGGGTGTGAGAGAGGGGAGGAGGAGGGGTGTAGGTTAAGTTTAGGCTAGCCCTCTGTGCTTTCCATTGAAGGTGCTGGGGGGAGGTGGGGGTAGTAAAAGTTAGAATTTTAGAGCCTCCCTGTTTTTTATTTTATGATTGGCTTTTTTTTACGGGCTGGGAGCTACAGCTGGTGGTGTGAATAGCTGCCCAAGGTGACCGAGTCCCAATAAAGTGTAGGCCAGCCGGGCTGGGGCCTCCAGTCCAGCCATGAGACCGCCTTTATAGGCCGCCTTACGAGCATAGGCCTCTATTAAAACCTGGCAGGGCTGCACTGAGGAATTTAGGGCCAGGAAACAAGAGAAAAATAGGGTTTGTGTGTCAGGGGGTGCTGGGATGCAGAGTTGGGGGTTGAAGTTTGAGGGTAACTAAGGGTGAAAGTTGAAAGAGGTGCTGTTGGGTAAGTGGATGTTCAAGTGTGCAGCGTATGGATTCCATACTTCCCTCGAGCAACATGTGTGTCTGTGAGCTTTTGCAGGCTAGCATGTGTGACCAGGGGTCTGGTCCTATGTGTGTGCTGCAGCTTATGTTTCTCAGGGGAAGTATGGAATCCATACAGCACACTTAAATGTCCAAAAGAGCCTGTTTGTGTTCCTGTTAGGAATAAAGTGAAGTTTAATGTACCATAGCAAGCATGTGACTCAAGTTTGCGCTGACATCACAGTTCCAGTTTGATAGGTAGAAGGAGGGCTTTGCACGCATGTGTGTTTGACATTTGTCTACTGTGCGTGCAAGATGTCATCATGAGCTGCCGTCAGTCTGTGGAATGAGGAAGAGCCAGCTTGGACTCTTGGCTGCAGCTCATTCTGTAACCCGGCCTTATCAGACAAGCTGTCAATCAGGAGCTGCTGCTGTAAAAATCAGTTTTGTCTCTGCTGTCAGGCAGTCATACCTCCTTTGTTTGTCTGTGTTCACACAAAACAATAATCTAACCAAACAGTTACCTAAATGCTGCTCCTGGTAATTGCTGCCTTCAAGCAGAAACAGTTGTGAGTTGTTCATACTCTATTCACTGCGTATGTAATCAGTTCTGTCCCACAGAGAGAAAAGCTAAAGAAATCTAAATCCACCTCCAGGCAAACTGAACACAACCAATACTCACCATTTCCTGCTGGCCTCACAACTCAAATGGAAGAATCAAATGCTGTCAGCTGTCATGTCCTGTTTGAATACAGTTGAAAAGCCTCGATTACCCGCATCTGCTACATGTTTTGACATTTGACATTTCTTACTAGCCGTAGGACAATCATTTGTGACAAATCATGTGCTCATGTGCTCCGCTGTCTTTTTTCTTCTTCTCCAACAGCGGTGGAGACCCAGAGCACCAGCTCAGAGGAGATGTTACCCAGTTCTCCATCTCCACCTCCCCCACCTCGTGTCTACAAGCCCTGCTTTGTGTGCCAGGACAAGTCCTCGGGGTACCACTACGGGGTCAGCTCCTGTGAGGGCTGCAAGGTGAGAAGAACCTGCCATAGCATTTTGAGCTCTGCGTTGTCTGAATTCATATCATATATTTGGGGGGAAATGCTGGGTTTCAATAACTTTTAGTTACCTGCCTTTTCATTAAGGTGAGAATAAAGGAGCCTAATAGGCAAGCTACTTCTACAACATGGGTTAGATTGTAGTATGAAACATGGAATCAATAAAGTGAACAGGTCTAATCATAATAACGCAAAGAGTTCAAATGTTATGCTTTTTTCTCTTCTTGATTCAAGCTTGTAAAAAAAGAGGAAAGAAGATTGATTATGAAAGACAAACTAAAAGTCACATCCTACATTTGATGACTTGACTAAAACATGCTTTCTTTGCCCTCTCCCCTTTTGTGTCTCTCTTCCTGGTACTTCAGGGTTTCTTTCGCCGCAGTATCCAGAAGAACATGGTGTACACCTGCCACCGAGACAAGAACTGTCAGATTAACAAGGTCACTCGCAACCGCTGCCAGTACTGCAGGCTGCAGAAGTGCTTTGAGGTCGGCATGTCCAAGGAAGGTGAGCCCTCCAACACTGGAGTGACCCACTTCCAAAACATGGATATTTACTCACACAAACAATCACAAGGCAGCCTTCAAATATTTCAGACATAGATAAAGACATAGTATAATATACCAGAATGCCTTGGAGACATTGGCAAACAGTTACAAACATACCACCAAAGTATGCATGTGCCCTGGGTCACACAGGGTGAACTTATAGATTTATTAATGTTCAGCGACAGAGACTCTGGGAAACTATGCAGCAGAGAGACGCGAGCAGATGATGAGCCTACCAGGGGTGGTGATCCGGGCGAGGCTGGGCACTGTACCAATCATATGACTAATCACTTTACGAAATAATGTTTCACCACATTACCTCGCCCCTCCGGCCAGCACAGACACTGCTTTCATTGATAGAGACAACCAAGCACAAAACAAGATTTGGGGTTAAGACAAAACTAATGGCGCCAGGATTCATGCAGTGGGTTTAATCCAACACCCACTTTGTGACCTCTTTACTTTGACCTTGTGTGTGTAAGTGGCAGTTTCTTGCCCTTCACAGAGCCCATGGGACATCTATGTGGGTGTAATGTTTGTGTGGGATGTGTGTTAAGACCGGGATCACATTGTGCCTCTGCTATTACTGGATATCCTGAGAGGAAGGAAAGTATGGGAGGAGGAGGGAGAGGAGGGAGCGAATGGAAGACTGGCTCATGTGCACCGGTCAAGTGGATAGAGAGATGGACAAGGAAGAGAACGGGTGATAAGAAAGAGATTGCTAGTGTCCGTCCCATGCTAAAGGAAATATGTTAATACTGTTAAGAGCAAACCTCCGCTGTTTCCGTGTCCTGGTTTCCACTAGCGGGCACAATGTCCTTGACAGTGATGAAAGACACAGAGCATGAGTGCTGTGGATGTTTTTTCATGTGATCACAGATAGAGAAGAGGAACTTTCTGTAACTGATCTGTGTAGCATCTTGTTTTTCTTTTTTTAAAGCGGTGCGTAATGACAGAAACAAGAAGAAGAAGGATGTGAAGGAGGAGTTGGTGCTTCCAGAGAGCTATGAGCTAAGCGGAGAGCTAGAGGAGTTGGTCAATAAAGTCAGCAAAGCTCACCAAGAAACCTTCCCGTCACTTATCCAATTGGGCAAATACCACACCGTAAGTTACACACACACACACACACACACACACACACACACACACACACACACACACACACACACACACACACACACACACACACACACACACACACACACACACACACACACACACACACACACACACACACACAATGTGGCAACATTCTTCATGCTATGCCGTCACTAAGGTCTCCCAGATTGCATGCAAAGACGTACATTTACCGTAGCTTTCCCAACATAGTGGTGGTTTAACTAATTCAGTTCCCCATTAAGCCATCTGTGTGGCCTCTGAATGATTGATGTATCATGTAAATGGCTTTTTTTCTCCTTGATTGATGTAAAATGTAAATGTGTTGTGGGGCTCGGACACGCTCATCCTTGATGCAAACAGGATTGCACACCACCTTTGTACCAACAAACTGTTCTGTGTGTGTTCAGAACTCTAGCTCAGACACCCGTGTCCAGCTGGATCTGGGTTTATGGGACAAGTTCAGTGAGCTCTCCACCAAATGCATCATCAAGATTGTGGAATTCGCCAAACGTCTGCCGGGTTTCACCACCCTCACCATCGCTGACCAGATCACTCTACTGAAGTCGGCCTGCCTGGAAATATTGGTGAGGAGCTATGGTCTTTGTTTTTCCCTTTTGTCCTCTTCACTTCTTACAAATGAACGTACTTGACACATGAGGTAATACTGGCCTCTGGTGGTGAAAACGGGTAGTGCATAATTTAAAACTAAGCCTCCTTATTCTGTGCTGTGTTATATTAGTTATATAACTCAAGTACATGTGTTTATCTACTGAAGATATTTGTAGATAACCTTAAATCAACATTATGTCATGTTTTGCTAAATGCTTACATTGTTTTCCCTTTTTTTTTGCTCACAGATGTTGAGAATCTGCACACGCTACACCCCAGAACAGGACACTATGACCTTCTCAGATGGCCTGACTCTGAACCGGACCCAGATGCACAACGCTGGCTTCGGACCTCTCACAGACCTGGTGTTTGCCTTCGCTGGCCAGCTTCTACCCCTGGAGATGGACGACACAGAAACCGGCCTCCTCAGCGCCATCTGCCTCATCTGTGGAGGTACTGCAGCATTCACATACACAGTGGAAATATCAATAAAGAGGAAGTGGTTTTAGTAAATCTGTGTTTCAACATTCATGATTTGTGATTTTGTAAAAATGTTGAATTACATTTTTTTTTACTAAAATGTACTTTTCTGATAAATATATATATTTGTTGCCCTCTTGGTTAGACCGTATGGATCTAGAGGAGCCGCAGAAAGTAGATAAGCTGCAAGAGCCTCTACTTGAAGCTCTGAAGATCTACGCCCGGCGCCGTCGCCCCAACAAACTCCACATGTTCCCCCGCATGCTGATGAAGATCACCGACCTCAGGGGCATCAGCACCAAGGGTAAGTTTAAAGAGTTATTCCTAGAAAGATTTAAGGAATCAAACGTAATCATACCACATTCAATCTTTTGGTGTTTCTTTTGTATCCTCTTTGTATCAGGGGAGCATTGTTTTAAAGACAAGATACTTATTATCTACCATCGCCATGCTCTTTGTTTCAGGTGCAGAGAGAGCCATCACTCTGAAGATGGAGATCCCAGGGCCAATGCCTCCTCTGATCAGGGAGATGCTGGAGAACCCAGAGGCTTTTGAAGACCAAACAGAGGGCAAAGAGAGCCCGCCCCCCCCTCCTCCGCCACCACCACCTCCACCGCCCGCCCAGGTGAAGCAGGAGGTCGAGGATGAGGACGACAGCTGGGCCACAGAGAACGGCAGCGAGCCATCGCCGGAGGAGGAAGACGAAGACAATGATGACGATGAAGATCGAGACAGGGGCTCGGACAGTGATGGGGAGCCCTGGGGGGTTCTGGATGCCATCGATGGGGCGAGGAAAGGCCTTGTTGGGAGGGCGCAGTGAACCAAGCATTTCATACATATACACATGCACATACAGGTTAAAACACAAACATACATAGAGACATACAACACGACCTCACCTACTCTCCACCTCAACAAAATGCTGGCCCTCCCCCTGTCTCTCCTTACTGCACATTACTGTGTCCTCCTCAGCGGAGCACAGCAGAGCCTTATGTGTATAGACACTTCTAACTCAGGCCTCATGGTCCATGACAACTGAACTACAGAACATAAAGGAAAGGAGAGATGACAGTAAACCATATGAACTCCTGGACGAGAGGGAAGTTAACGTGACAATAAGAACAGAATCTCTTTGAGAAAGCTTAACGCCGTTTTTTTTCCACTATTGTTGTTTGTAACTGAATAGGGGAACGGCCAAACCAGAACTGAGCAGTTGATTCCAATGGATTACAACAAGCACATTTCTCAAAAGACAACAAGAGTACAGGGCAAAACCAAATCGAGTATGCTAACCTTTGTTTTTGTGGTTATTGCTTTTGAATATTGTTTTCAGTTTTACTTTTCTTATTTGTTTCAATTTATGAATAAGTCCATACATATCTATATACCATTATATTTTTGCCTTTGTTTGTTATTCGGTTTTTTATATATGAATCCTTTTAGACATTGTTTTCTTTGAAGAGCTTTCCTGAGAAGATATTCTTAAGGAAAGAAGGGTAATCTGAACTGGCTGGGTCTTCCTCATCAGCCACATATGTTTAGCTGGGGCTTTTGGGGGCACTATGGCTCAATGTGGATGTCAATGATAATCAACCCAGAGGACTATTGTTAATTTGCAGTGACTTAATCAGTTTCTGTTATCAGGGAATTGGCATTATTATATTAAGCTCTCATTGTAGCCGATTTGTGCTGTCAATGCTGAAATAATTTTGTGCCAAAGTTAGGAAAAGTCATCTTTGGAGCATGAGTTTGAGTACTGGCAGGGACACCAGCCTTGATCCAGCAATCCTCACAGCAGCGCGCTCATTCAAACATGCCCTAACACACCCTGATATCACACACACACACACACACACACACACACACACACACACACACACACACACACACACACACACACACACACACACACACACACACACACACACACACACACACACACACACACACACACACACACACACACACACACTCCGTTGGCTCTACCCTCAGCTGTAGCAGATGCGCTGACCTGGCATCATCAGAGGTTTACATTAGACCGTATATGTAGCACTTTTGTGAGCCTCAATTCAATGAAAGGCACATCCTGTCCACTGAGAGTGAACTGTCTGTGAGCTTACAATATTTCCATTAGCATGTCCAAACTGATGACAACATCAACACACAGAATACAATCAAACTTAGAGCACTCCCCGATGATGTCAATAGAAGAATGCACACTTACAGCACGGAGAAAAAAACATCCAGTAGCAACATCATGCATCAACACAACGATCAAAAACATATGCAAGACAAAAAAAGCAGGAATCTTTATGGAAGACATTTTGGAATCAGACTCAGGGCTTTTCAGTAAGGACCAAACCCTAGCTGCTTTCAGCAAGCTAGAAAAAGGCAATATTTATGTGTGTATTCTTGACTCTGTTTTGATCAGCTCAACCCCTCTGCGTGTACATAGAAGGTGACAAGTCTGAGAAACAGCATGGATGCCAGCGTGACTCTCCCAGAGGGGGACGAATCATCATGGTCATCATCACTGCCCCGCCTGTGCTCGCGCTGGCTTCCATGCAAACAAACTGCCTTCTCATCCCAAAAGCCATTATATCCTCTTGTCTTCTTGTGTATATCGTCAACTCTTTTTAAAGAAGCTATGGAGGATTACGAGTTCTCATTTATCCTTTCTTTATTGCCAAAATGTCTCAGTAGGCGATCAGCTGTGGGAGCTTGGCTGCTTTACAGCGCAGAGGGTTTTTTCTGTCTCTCTTTGAAGCAATATGAACATTCTTTCTGTAGCGGTGAGAGGTCCCATTTTCTGAACATGTGCAGGTCTCCTCAGTGTGTGTGTGTGTGTGTGTGTGTGTGTGTGTATGTCTGCGTGCGTGCGTGCGTGCGTGTGAATGCTTTAACAAGTTGTGAGTCATTGTGTGAATGTCTTCAGCATGGTGCTGTTCTCTCTCGCTCTCTCTCTCTCTCTCTCTCTCTCTCTCTCTCTCTCTCGCTCTCTCTCTCTCTGCTAACCTGTCATGATGTCAATGATGGTAATTCAGGCAGAACATTGAGATTATGTTGTTTCATGTTTTTTGTTTTTCAACATGGCCAAGGTGTTGTCTACCCTCTGTTTATGTCAACTCTTGTCATACAAAGAAAAGCCATATAAACAGTAAGAGGCACAATAAACTACTTTTGCGAGATTACTGGACTTTGTTAATTAAATTTCTCTGCAGAAATATTGGTAACATTGTCTATTAAGACCTATGTATAGTGCATTTTGAGGTTAATCAAAGTGCATTATAATGCATATATAATATTTCATAGCTCATAAACACACATAGAGTTTTCTGATGCACGCCTCCGCACATTGAAGCACCCAGATTATGCAACTTTAATCATCATGTTTTATTGTTGGTTGTAAGTAAAGTGTAGTCTATTTTCATGCATTAAAATAATATATGTTGCATCAGAATGACACCAGAATTGTCACTCATGCAAGGGAACAAATATGAATGCAATCACAGTAAATTAGTAGCTTTGAGTGAGTATTACCATGCAGTACCAGATGTATCAGTAGAGGGAGCTCTTGTACCATGACTGCAGGAAGCTCTGCATGCAGCAGTGTTCAGCCTGCATGCAGGATGAAAGCAGGGCCTGATGGGTCACGGGGGGCTGTGGGTGCAGAGGGCAATAAATTACAGCCTGCTGCTGAACAAGGACATCAGATAAAGGTCTGTTCACTCTGCAGTTGGGTGGTAAACTGTAGGAGGTAAAGAACCTATAGTTTTTCAATTTCTATGTAAATCATTCTGTTTTGATTTATTTATAGAACTGAGAAAAGGTGGACTAATCAGAAAATCCTTATACGACACAACAAATGAAAACAAAAAGATCATACATAATTATTGTATCTCATTTAAAGAAACATGAAAAGGAATGAAAAATAGTACACAAGTAGTCAATTAAAAAAAAAATTTCATTGAGAAATGATGATGTTTTCTTTCCATCTTATTGTAAAGCTAATATTGTTTTTGGACTTTTAGATAAGAGATTTGAAGATAGTCTCCTACTGTGCAAATGAGTTTCCACAATTCTTTATGTTTCATAGACTAAACCATTAATCAAAAAGATAGCTGGCAGATGAATTGATATTTAGAAAAATCGTTAGATAAACCCAATATATTAGTCATGTCTATATTGAACTTCTGCTAAGGAAAATGAAAGTGATGCAGATAAACACTTACATGTTCATGGTCAAACATGGCCGCAATATTTATTGGACTCATATTAGATCTCATAGAAAAGAGATCCAAAACTGAATTGGGTTTGGTAACTCAACTCAAAGCTAACTCATTTAAAAGAAGCACATTAATAAAATAAGCAAAAACCCTACACATATTTCAGATTCCTTATAAATGTCACAAAAAATCTAGAGTTATACGTTTGTCCCAACATTTATTACCGCAAGTGCATCACTGTCACTGATAAGAGCAGCTCTCCTGACATCCTGATAAGGAACAGGAACCCTCTCTGTAAAAGGCCACTGATACTGAACAGCTTTTCTTTTTTTTTCACACAAATCAGTGTGGGATACTTCACTTCACCTTGATTTTATGAATAGAGAGAGAATCAGAGGAGGGTGATAAACAGAGATGAGAATCTATCAATTATATGATTGCTTTAATTAACTATCATTAAAGACAGATCAATAACGGCAGACTGGAATTAAAATAAGGTCCATACATTATACACTATTTTACAAGGAACAATCAAATGGCCCCATATACTGAGCTCCTGGACGGTGTTGCCATGGGAACCCAAGGGAGGGCTTGGGTGTGCTTGGGGGAATTTAAAGGAGCCAGGCCAGATTTCTATATACTCACCCTTCCACATCAATGATGCTGGATTAACCAATTACACGAGTAAGGAAGTCTTATTCCCTAGAACTTAAAAAAAAAATGAAAATGTGTAATGAAAGGCCTCTGGAAAAGAAGGTATAACTGTTGAATGAATAAATAAAAGGGTAAAAATCTCTCATGTAATATACTTGTAGCCTCAGGACATCAATTATTCAAATAAAATAGTAAAGAATCTATGAAGTAGGTCATGAGTGTGGCATACCAAATAGTTTAATTTGAATATTTAAACATAGAGAGAGCACATCTGCTGAGTTTGCTTACATAAGCAAACTGCAGCGGTACCTTTGTCAACACGCAGGAGAGATAATGGAGCAGGAGAGGTTCGCTCCTCAGAGAGTGATCGGGAGGATAAAGCTCACTGAACCCAAGTGCTCCTGGCAGCAGTTAGGGGGGGGGGCCTGGGCTCAGGGTGTGATAAAAGCAGAGAGTGGAGGTGCATGTGCCCTGGGTTTGATGTGATAAAAAAAAAACCTGTGGGGTCTTTCTACGTGGACCTAAAGCTATATACGAGACAGGCGTACGTGTCATGTGCAGGATGCATGGAGTTGGAAGCGGGGTCACAGCACATTATTTGTCTCCTAGTCAGAACGGACAAAAAGGACATCTTCCTCATTTGTTACATATGGAGCAAATCGATTGGGAGGCTTGGGAATCAGTCAAGGGAAGAAAGAAGAGGTGAAGGGAAGGTGACAAACGTTTTCAAGTGCAAAGACCATAAGTTATAACACCTTTCAATGTGCGAACAGAAAGGGAGGCGGGCGATCTTAAAGGAAGGGTAATGGAGAACGTGATGAAGAAACGGGTAAAGGTATCTGTGACAAGAGTGTGAATGGAGGGTGGGACAGAAGGGAGGAGGAGGAGGAGGGAATAAACAAGGCCAGGTAGAGGAAGGAGTGAATTGGGGAAGGGAAGCGAGAGCTGTGGAAGGCGGGTGTCCGGGTCATAAAAACTCGGAGATGTGTTCTGGCCTCTGGGTCTTCATATCTTTTACATTTCTAATTAAAAGAGATAAAGAGTGAGGGAGTCATCAATCCCACAGTGATTTCCCAGTTAAGGTTTTAGAGGAGGCTGTAAACTAGGCAGCCCGGCATCATTGATTTTATAATTAGCTATCGTCACCCCAGACTTAAGATGGAGGGAGTGTGGTGGAGGGAGCGGGAGAACCGCCGGAGGAGTGTTCACGCACAAGGATGAAGATGATGAGGAGCTCTTGCCTGAGGGGAGAGTGAGGGAGAGCCAAAGGTGAATGGAGAGAAAATCCAGAATGAGAAATGTATCTGAAACAGGCAATGAGCCAAAGGGGAATATAGGTTATATAGCTGTGTGAAAAGAAATGGCATAGTTAATTACCAGTGAAATGTCATGTGAGGATCAAAATATTGCTATGATCTTTGGCCAGAAAAAGACACATTAGACACGATAATGGATACATAAACCTCTTTATTATACGTAACCCCACCCAAACCCCGGTACATGACTGATAAGAAAATACACAGCGATGTACATGTGGGATAACCTTCACACACAAAACTTCAAAACAAACCATAACCACTGGAGCTTTATTGCAACCGGAGACGTGTCCCGATGAAGAGCACTCGTCCCTTAAACTCTCAGTGGGATGACAAAAGAATAACTTCCCTAAGACATAAAGTCAGATTAAAACCACAAACAAGGACTATGGAGGATACATGTAGTGTAGTGTGCTATCTTCTGGGAAAGAATACCAGGCTCCTTAAAACATTCCCACTTCTTTACAAGGAGAATCAACGTGTACTGCAACATCAGAGTAAGCAGTGACACAAGGTAAGTGAGAGGTTGGACAGACATTAACTCCTTTCGAGTACTTTCATAATCCTGTTTAATCAATCAATTAATTTCCTCCACTTTAAACTCAACATGCTGGTTTCATTCCCTTTCATTAGCACCAATATCTCAAAACAATATAACTCAAATCTTTATAGTCAAAGTACGTTTTTAAAAGCAGAATGTAAGAATAGAAT